ACAAAAAAAGAACTAAACAAAATGGACACAAAACGATCAGCTTTAAAAAAAGGACTCGTAACTGGAAAAACCGAATGAAAAAAGAATGTTAACAACAAATACTTTTTCACACCCAACCCAGTTCTGCAGAATCAGAATCAATGCTGAGTTTAAGCAAGCGAATGAACCAATTGGAGTAAAGTGCCATGCAGATTTAAATTTTTCCCACTTGTGACGAATGCAGCGATGGATTTTTTTTCATGCTAGCGTGCTAGTTAACATTCGTGCCAGTCAGTTATTGGCTCTCACATTCGGCATAGAATCTTCCTGCCTATTCGTGGTAGCCAGCTATAGGCTCTCACCCTGGTCAGTACAAAATGGCCGCAAACTACATGAAAAGTGCCGTAGAAGCATGAAAAAATCGATTATTTCCACTATCGATGGGAGTTGGGAAATGCAAAGTCAGTCTTGGCCTTCCCGCTAACTTGGAGCATGTGCATGTAAATTTTGGTGCAAATCCGTCGAAAATTGCGGCCGTGCATTCGTTACACACACACACACACACACACACACACACACACACACACACACACACACACACACACACACACACACACATCCTGCCTTTTATATATCTATATCTATCTATATATATATATATATAATGAAGTGTTACGGTTCCTTCAGTTGATAAAAAAACTCCTGATGTACGCAATTATGTGCGTGATTATCTTGTTAGCCGTTACACCCATGTTTGTTTCCAATGAAAAGTTAAGTTAAAGTTTGCATGACTAACATATACTGCTCCACGGCTGTCACCTTTGCAGTTAGTTTTATATTATGGTAACCAAGACAGAAAAAAAAACTCCTCTTCTATACTGAAACTTTATGCGAAGAAATGTGTTGCTTAAAAGTACAAAAATAAATTTGGCTTTACACTAATATTTTTTACACTAATTTATGCGTTTTTTTTTTCTAAAATTTTCCTTCTATTTCAAATTTTAATCTTTTTTTATTTATCTTTATACTGTAATTTATTTATTTCTATAATTTAGTTTATTTTTCTTTCTTACGATTGCTACTTTATTATTCTATTTCATTAGAATTATTAATGTACTTTAATTGCCCATTTTTTAAAATCGTATTTGTACTTTTTTCGCCATTATCCTTGTTTTCTAAATTATTTTTCTTTATACTCTAATTTTCCTCTTTTTAAAATTGTATTTGTAGGTTAATTGCTATTTTTTTAATTTCAATTTATTTCATTCTCTATTTTTAATCTCTTTTTGTCATTACGCTTGTAATTTACCTTACTTTTCTACGTACTCTTATTTTCCTCTTTTTAAAATTGTACTTGTACTTTAATATTTATCATTGTACTTTCATTTTCCTCTTTTTAAAATTGTGTTTGTACATTAATTTGTATCATTTTTATATATATCTTCGTCATATAATTTATTTCTTTTCATATTTAAACTTTATTTTTCTCTGGTTCGTCACTGATCTTGTACTCTAAGTCATCACATTTATATTGTACTTTAATTTTCCTTTTTTAAAATTGTATTAGTACTTTAGTTTGTATCTTTATATATATATATATATATATATATATATATATATATATATATATATATATATATATATAATATAATTTTATTTCTTTTCATATTTTAACTTTATTTTTCTGTTTTGTCATTAATCTTGTACTCTAAGTCATCACATTTATAGTGTACTTTAATTTTCCGCTTTTTAAAATTGTATTTGTACTTTAATTTTTATTTTCTTTGCATTGTAATTTATTTCATTCATTTCTTGTTTCTTTTTACCATTACGCTTGTAATTTACATTATTTTTTTCGTACTCTAATTTTCCTCTTTTAAAATTGTAATTTAATTTTTTTCTTTTTTTAACTTATGTCAGTAATATAATTTAAAAAAAACAAAAAAACTTAGCTTACATTTTTCTTTCTTTCTTTTATCCCTCACCTGGTACTCTAAAATCTCACATCTAACTTTGGACTCGAATAATTATTTTATATTTTTGTGTTTAATTTTTTTTTCTTTTTTTTTTTTGATCTTTCTTCACATTTGTTTTTGTTTTTCTCTTTTCTTTTTAATTTTTTTTTTGTCCAAATTTTATCTTTCTTTTTTTTTTTTTTTTGTACGCCAATTTTCCTTTTTCGTTTATTTATCTTTGTACTCAGTTTTTATATTTTCTCTTCTTTTTTAATTCATCAGTGTGCTTTAATTTTTCGCTTTCCCCGAGCCCCCTAAACCGTCTCTATCGTTTCGGGCTTTCTCCGACCCGGTTCTAATTTGGGGGTCTGTGTAAGATGTCTACCAAGGTGTAAGAAATAAATAAATAAAATAAAAAAAAGGTACTAACATAAATTATTGTGTTTTTTGGCGCTTAAAAATAATTTCTGTGTTTCGTTTGTGGTGGAGGCAAGACGAGAACTGGTAAGCGCAAGGGTTTGATTGCGGTCAGCAGTCGATGCTGACCAATCCATCACTTTTAGAAGAGGTGGAAATGAGTCGAGAAAGTAATCAAGAGACCATTTTCTTCAGGCCTTATTAAAATTCCGACACAATTTTCGTTTTAGTACTCACTACTTTCTTATGGCGGGAGAAATGTAAATATGTACACACACACACATATATATATATATGTACCCATATATATATATATATATATATATATATATATATATATATATATATATGTTTCATTAAATAATATAGACAAGTTTTGTCTGTCTATTTTAAGTAAGTTCCTTTCATATTGTCTGATAATCTCAATAACATTATCATTGAAAGACGAAAGGAAATCACCATATTGATACATGTTTTAATGCTATCTAAGCTTTCAGCTTACATAAGCCATTATCAAAGATGACAATTACATTTCAATATATCAAACAATACACGGACGAAACAATAATGATAATGTGTTTTTCTTGCATGAAAAATTTCAAAGCAACGACAAACACGTGTATACTTAATACTTCTCGTTTTCACACTCGCGTGGTCATGTGTGACGTCACGAGCTGCGGTTTTCGCTTCCGCGTCTCGTATATATATATATATATATATATATATATATATATATATATATATATATTTATATGTATATTTAGCAATTTCTCATTAATGCATGTTTCATTAAATAATACAGAAGTTTTGTCCATTAATTTTAAGTAAGTTGCTTTCATATTGTCTGATAAGCTTAATAACATTATCATTGAAAGACGAAAGGAAATCATCATATTGATACATGTTTAAATCCAATCTAAGCTTTCGGCTTACATAAGCCATTATCAAAGATGACAATTACTTTTCAATATATTAAACAATAGACGGACGAAATAATAATGATAGTCTGTTTTTGTTGCATGAAAAATTCAAAAGCAACGACAAAATCGTATATATATACATATATATATATATATATATATATATATATACATACATACATATATATATATATATATATATATATATATATATATGAAAAAATATAGTCTTAAGATCTGCTATATTTATGGGATAAAGTGCTCAATATCAGAGATAGAGCGTGTGTAAATATAAAAGTGAACATAGAAGTCAACACTTAGAGGCGACAGGCTTTTTCAACAGGCCTGACGATTGCATCCAGCATGAAACAGCCTGTCGCTTCTAAGTGTTGACTTCTATGTTCAATTTTATCTATCTATCTATCTATCTATCTATCTAACTATCTATCTATCTATCTTATCATCATTATTATCATTATTATTATTATAAAAAATGTTGAAATCGCTACACAGAATTTCCTTTCATTATTCCAACAGCAGGAGCACAACAACATATTTAGAAAATCCCTGGAAATCATAACTTAGAAATACAAAAAAAATATTCTAAGAAGAACTTTCTCCGTGTAACACTAATGATGTTATGAAACAAATCAGAAAATATAGTCAAAACAACAAACCACGACCTGCCTTAGGTCTTCCTGCCGACTTGGTAGATAGTGAGACTATCCCAGAAATCAAAATACAATAATAATAATAATAATAATAATAATAATAATAATACGCATAAAAATGAAAAAATGAACAAATGGTAAAATACTGGCTTTATCCTTTGATGGCGAGATACTGAACTTAACACCATATTAAGTGTCAAATGTAGAAAAAAAGTTTTTAAAATATCGGTATGCTATCAGCAAAGTTTATGAAAACGAACATTTTTACAGATTTTGAATCAATCACTAATTATAGAATATCTGAACTTACAGATAAACCTGTTAAAAGATCATAACTGAGACATGATTCGATTTCTCTCTCTCTCTCTCTATATATATATATATATATGAAAATTTCTCAGAGTTAACCTGTAGAAAAGACAATATTTATAAATATAAATGACAATAGGAAAACTGTAGTTATTGCTGACGCGTTTCGTCCAATGTGGACTTTCTCAAACCAAAAATCCATATATGGGTGTTTTCGTGAGTGAAGTTTATTGTAGGTTCAATATTGTTAAGTTTGGAGAGAAGATCCGTTCTTGCTTGTCTATTTTTAGAATTTCTAGAAAGTGACTCTTTCAAAAATATCCTCCCTACAACCTCTTCATATTTCAGAACGGATCTATATTATTTAATGAAACATGCATCAATGAAAAATTTTTCATTGATGCTATAACACTGCATGTGGCTATATATATCTATATACATATATATGTGTGTGTATGTTTGTGTGCGCCTCTCTGTGTGTGTCTGTGTGTGCGAGTGTGCGTTTGTGCCTGTATGCTTATACATTTGAGAACGCATGTGTGTGCAAAAGAAGACGGACATTCTTTTAAATATTCTAAGATATTAATAAGGCACGATGAAAATCTTTTTAAGAACGAAAAAAAAAATAAATAGACGGAGCGGGGGGGTCTCTTTATTTGTTTGTTTGTTTTATTTATTTATTTTTCAAAAATTGTTAAAATAAATAAATAAACTTTACATACGGTGTCCTGATTAAATTCAACTTTCACCCACAGCTGCGTGACATTCCATCTTCGACTCGACTCAACTCGACAGACGGATCACGTGATCGTCCGAAGCGGACGCGAACGTAACGGTGCATGTCGGGAAGGGAAATGGCGCGCTGAGGGAACGCGTAACGAACGGGACGACACGTGCAACGGAGGAGCGAGGTTTCCGAAGTTGGCTAAGAGAAAAGACATGCAAAAGCACACCAACATCCAAAAAAAAAAAAAAAAAAATCGAAAAAAAAAAGAAGCAAACTAAAAAACGAATCTATGGAGTTGAAGAAATGCTGGAAAAAACAAACAAAAAAAAAAAACACAAAACCGGAAGGAGACAAGCAGGAACGAGGTACATTGAAAAACAGACTGATATGTATACCAAAGGAATTTTTTTTTTCCTTCAACCCGGACCCAGGGTGGTGAAAGCTTCTCAGGAAATTTTTTCAGTCTTTGCCACGCGACAAGATGGCTCGGCTGGGTCACTGTGAAATACACCAGTCGGCTTTCAGGAAGCGTATACACTCAATAAACGACAACTACAATACTCACATGGGAGACGACGAAGAGGTTTTCTTAACTTGAAATTAAGAATTTTTCTTATACTTTATCTTCATTCCCCCTTTTTTTTCCGCTGTTGGATTTCACATTTTCCAATTGCAGATGATTTCTTTGTCGAAAAGTTCACAACGCTCGATAATTAAAGGTAATTATACAAGTTCTCGAATAGTGAGATCCACCGTATTAAGCGACATGTGAGACGCATATTTTACAAGCACTGTTTTTCTTCAACGCCTTTTACTGGCAAACATTCCTGGCCCCTAATCGTGCAGTTTGACTCCTGGCTGATTAGAACCCATAGCCATAAAAAAGAAAAAAAAATGCCCTTTGATGTAATAATATATTTCATTATCTTTTTTTTTTCAAAATCCAACATTATGCATATAAATAATCATATTTGCCGACCACTAGGATAGTACCCGTAAAAAATGATATATTTATTTACGCATGGCACCACCACGTAATTTATATTGCTCCCAGTACCACCCTGACTCGGGGTGGTAGCACCTGTTAGGGTCCCAGCTAGGGGCAAGTAGTGAACCACTGAACAAAAATCAAACGCCTAATAAAGCATAAAAATACATTTTTATCGTAAAAATACCAGATAAAAAAAATGCCAAAAGTACATTTTTTGTCGCAAAATAAATAGTGATATATTTTTATAGTCAAATGATAATCTTTACAATATTAAAGTTTAAACATGTAGTAAAATTACCAACAATACATTTTATTATCTACCAGAATTTTTTTTCTTTTAATCCCGTGACCCGTAGTGCCGCAGGGGTACTAGAAGTACTGCTGACACAGTAGGGGTGGTGTTTCCGGAGCCCATCCCTCTCCAGGCCGGTTTTGAATCCAGAGTTTTTGCCACTCCTAGACCGGTTGCCACCCAAGAACCCAGTCTGTCCTGCTATTTACCCACAGCTGGTTGCGGTGTGTGTGTGTGGGGGGGAAGGATTCATACCTTTCCCAAGGGTACGTAAGTGAATGTAATGGATCCGACTGGAATTCGAACTCGGCTCTCTCTGATTCCTCAGTCCGTGCTTCCCAAAATAAAAAAAATAAAAAAAAAAAACAGAAAAAAATTTGCCCTGAAAGAATAAAATTATGTCCAAAATATTTGTAGTTGAACTGCGTACAGAATATTTAGATTTCGGCATTTAATAACCCATGGCAGTGTTGATGTATCACTAAACAAAAACAATCATGTATAGAAATAATCTAACAACTATAACTGCATTAAAACAATTTTTGTAATAGTATATCATTCTGCATTCACCATAATACCTCCTGGTCTCTATGAAGTTTAGTTCCCATATGTACAATTCTTATTTGGCCGTGGGGGATATAAAAAGTTGGTAACATTTTTGGCGCTATAATTTTTAAACATGGGTTTTTGAAGCAATAAACCTTGGTGAGAGATTCGAGAGTTTATACAGTAATAGCCGTGTCAAAATAAAAAAAAACGCCCTTTTTGACATCGTTTCTTTGTGAGTCCTAACGTAAAACCAATATAGATAAAAGTATGTATTAACCCAGTAAAATTCTCTGTGGCGTATAGGACCAGAGCGTGCCCCGAAATATGTATTACTGTTGAGGGTTTTGTGGTAATAGCTTGTTAATTTTAGTGTCACCAAAACGTAACTGCTCTTTTTTTTAATCGTCTGGGAGAATCCTTTTTATCTCCCATCAGTATGGCTGATGCTAACCTCCAGTAGAGTGACTTATTACGACTTCTCGGGCTGACACGAAATAGAAAGATTATATTGAATCCATTGTCAAATCTGTTGCTAAGAAAGTTAGTTCAGTGTCAGGTTAGACATTTTTTCTCGCCATAATCTACTATTCTCTAAGCTTGCTGCCTTATATGATCATTGCTATACGTTTAGAGATTCTTGATAAAATCCAAAGAAAAATCAGCAATATTATGGGTCCGGACCTGGTTTCAGTCACTTTCTCACTCACGAAATTAGGTTCCCTGTTGCTTTTCTGTAAATACTTTCATGCTAATTGTTTGGATAAGTTCTTCACTATGGTATTGTTTTTATATCCCCCACGGCCAAATAAGAATTGTACATATGGGAACTAGTTAGGACTTCATAGAGACCAGGAGGTATTATGGTGAATGCAGAATGATATACTGTTCCTATGAGTATATTAGAACAAGAGTCTTACAAAAATTGTTTTAATGCGAAAAAAGTAGCCTTTAAAAAAATGAATAATTAATTAATTACGTAAACAAATATAAAATTCACTTTCGTTTAAGTGAAAAATATCACCCCTTCGCGTTCTCAAGAGCTCATCTTTCTTAAGTTTTAGAATATTTTAGAGCATTCTCTAATTCAAAATTTGAAAACTAAATGTTATTTTATTTTTCTCAGTGTTACTTCTCTGTATAAGTACAGGTTACAAGGAAGGAAACGCGTTGACTTAAAATGTTTTCCTCTCCGTACTCCGAATCGAAGACCTGAGTTTAAATTTCAGTCAAGTTCATTATATTCCCTTTTACGCAAATAGCCTTGGGCAAAGTATGAACCCATCTCTTTCCCCCAGTTATGGATTAATTAGTAGGACGTGTATCAGTAAATCATTATTATACACAAAATGTTATTAAAATCTAAAAATATTTTCTGCCTTTAAATAATTTGTAAAAGGTTGATAAACTGTGAAAAAACAAACCAATTAATCAATTAAGCAGCAAGAATTCTTTTAAACATGTTTGGTCGAATAATATTTTCTTCAGACAGACAATTTTTTAATTAAAATATTTTAAAGACAAACACAAACAGATCCCGATTTTTATTACAAACAAATGATCGAAACAGCAAAGCGGGATCTTTTTGTGACTGTCTTTCACTTAAAAATATTTTATAAAAAATTTGTCTATTTGAAGAGAGTTGAAATAGAAGCACTTACTGTATAAGCAAGTAGTATTTTTAATTCTTATTCATTTAAACCAGATTAACGTAAATCATTATTTACTGGGCGGACGACGCACCGTGCAAGAACGCATGCAATCACAGAGAGGTGGAAAGAGAGAGGTGGAAAGAAACAATGAAATCCCGCTTTGCTGTTTAGTCCAGTTGTTTGTAGAGTAGTTATTTATATTTCAGCTTTCTTTAAAAAGCTTATAAAACATCAGAGTTGGTTTCAACATTAAAAAACTGTCTGTTTGAAGAAAGTAGAAATAAAAATACTTACTGCATAAACAACTCGTATTTTTAAATCTTATTCACTTAAAATATTTTTAAAATCAGATTATCTTAAATATTTTTAATATGCTAAATTTTTTGAAAATCATATTCACTTGAAATATGTCAAAAAATACATTTTTTAAATATTTAAAATATTGTTTGTTTAAAGAAAGTTGAAATAAAAATAATTATTCTACAAACAACTGGACGAAACGGCAAAGCGGGATCTCTTTGTGTCTGTCTTTAACGTAAAACCATTTTAATAAGAAAAATTATCTGTTTGAAGAAAATTGAAATAAAAATATTTATAAACAACTCTTATTTTTAAATGTTATTCATGTAAATCAGTTTAACTTAAAACATTATGCCCTGGACGGACACACAACACAAGCACGCATGCAATCACGTACTTTTAGTGTTATATAGATAGACTGGACTCTCAATTTGTTTTCGACGTATGATGGCTAAGCGGGTCAGTTCTTAGTATCGAACAGCCAGACTACCGGCACAGGTTTTTTTTTCCAAATAAAAGGCCCAGGATCCACTCGAGGTAGAAGCTTAATGTCTGGAGTTTTATGAGCGTAAGAAAGGAAAGATAACGGCTAATCTAGTCATAAGATGGTCAAGATTTTTGTTATTGGAGAAAAGATAAGGGAATTAAAAAACCATAAGAAGGAACGGAACGCACAATCCTAAACAGAGAACAAGGTATAAACCTCTATTCCTGTTGAAAACACCGGGGATAGAAAATCACCTATATATATATATATATATATATATATATATATATATATATATATATATATATATATATATATATATAGTAGTAATAATCTTATAAGTATAAGAAATAATAGTCGCCCGAAAACCTTCGGTGTCTTGATTTGCAAATAATCAAACCAATACTAAATAGAAAAAGAAAGGTATAAAAAAAAAAAAGAACCAAGAACATGTACGTTAGCTTAAAATAATCGTCTAGCATGCAAGTTCAAAGCCCAAAGAAAAAAAAACCCGATACGAATAAGCAAAATTAAGTGCTCGATACAGTAAATAGAGACATATATATATATATATATATATATATATATATATATATATATATATATATATATATATATATATATATATATATATTTGATATATATATATATATATATATATATATATATATATATATATATATTAATATTATTTATATATATATATATATATATATATATATATATATATATATATTTAATACTCTTTTTGAATATAAATATATCCTAAAAAAAAAAATAATAAAAAAATATAAAAATGTTGCAAATATCGTGTTTCTTCTATACATGTTTACGTTTTTTTTTGTTTTTTATAGCCTTCTTTCTTTTTTAATCAATTCCCTCACAAAAAAAGGCGATAATGCCACTAAGACGCAAGCTCTTTACGTCTTAGCTGGAGCCAAAGAGAATGAGAAGAATTTAGAAGGAACCAGTAACCCAATCCTAAACAGGAAACAAGGGATAATCCTCTACTCCTGCCCAAAAGCTCTAGGGGAAGTGTTAATCTGACGATAAGCACACTGATCTACTCCTATTGCGAGAGAAAAATATAAATACTCGATAAAATTTCCGAGTTCGGAGACGTTAAATGTATAGAATTGTAATACACTTTAGAAGGAACTGGAAACTCATTCCTATACAGGAAACTAGTGTTAAACCTTTATTCCCGGTGAAAAGACTAGGAATTATTTAATTATAGACGTGAAGGCTTTTCGCAAAAACCGAATACAGAGAATTTCTGCTCAGCGTGTCAAAAAGTCTTTACACATCCATCCTCAGGTTTTGAATTCTTCTTTAACGAGCCGAGTGCTATCTACCATTTAATCGAAAACTAAGTCGAGAGGGATTCCTACCTCACGTTCTTGATGGCATCCATAAGAACATTGATCTTCGATTGGAACGACTTGTCCCAGTTCGGGTTGAAGTCGGACGAAACTTCGCTTGTCAGGAATAAGTAACTCATCTTTTAATGAACTCTGCATATTCTTGTCTGTTTGTCGGTGAACACCATCCTGAGTTTGCACATTGTTGTCTTCTTGATGACTGGTCCTGAGTCATGGTAAAACATGGTATATACCTGAACCGGGAAAGTAGGCACCAGGACATCCGTGTTTTTTATGCTTGAAGTAGAATCAGTCTATTAGCCTTCTACCAATTTTGGCAAACTACTACAGGCTTTGAATTAAGCATCTCACAACGCAGGGTCTTCTTTCAGACAAGCAATATGGTTTTCGTTTCTCTGGGTCAAGTGCTGATGTATTACAGTTTATTGTGGAAAGAATCTATAAACTTTTAGATACGAATGGTGAAACTTGGGCTGTTGCTTTGAACATCTCAAAAGCGTTTGGCATAAAATTTTTCTTCACAAGTTGAAAAATTATGGCATCTCCGGACGAATTTTTGAACTGATCTTATCAAATCGAGAAATAAAAGTTGTCCTGAACAGGCATTCTTTCAGTTCTTTCTGCGCTAATGCAGGTCTTCTCCAACGCTCTATAACCCTGGTGACTGTTTTTTTTTTTTTAATTTTCCTTAACGACCTTCCTGATAGCATCAGCTTTCAATATAGTATCTATGTTGATAACACAACCATTTACACCTATCTCGATAGTAAGTCTCGTCAGTTTGCTGTTAACAGGGACAAAGAATGGATTGTTAATGTTAACGCCTCTAAAACTGCTCTCTGTTTATCATTTGAGAGAGTCCTCTTTGCCTTCCAGCAGTATGGCTGATGCTATCCTCTGGGGGAGTGACATATTGCGCCTTCTTGTGTTAACATTCTCGGCTGATGTGAATTAGAAAGACTATATCAAATCCACTGCTAGGCCTCCTGCTAAAATGTTGGTTCACTGTGTCATGCTAGACAATTTTTCTCTCTAGAATCTATCTTACATGTCTATAAGTCTACCAGACATCCATTCTTAGAATATTGCTGCCACATATGGTCCGGTGCCCCTGCTGTATATTTAAAGATTCTTGATAAAATCCAAAGGAGAATCAGCAATATATTTTATCCTGGCTTGGCGGCTCGGCTTCAGTCTCGTTTTCACTACAGTAATGTTGCATCCCTGAGCGTTTTTCTGTAAATACTTTCAGGGTAATTGCTCGGATGAGCTATTCGCTATAGACTTGAGAAAAAAATATGCGCTTTCTGGCAGGATTGGAACCTTTCAAGAGTCAGAGAAAGATCTGTTAAACGCAGATCTTACTCTTACTCTTGAAATATTTTCTTCTGATTGGTTCTCTTGAATATTCAGGTCGGTAGACCAAATAAATAAATCTATTGTTAAATAAATAAAAGGTGCTTAAACTTGAGTGCACGTTAAAAAAATAACGTTTCAGAAATATATATAACATAGGCTCACACACACACACACACATATATATATATATATATATATATATATATATATATGTGTGTGTGTGTGTGTGTGTGTCCATGTTATATATATATATATATATATATATATATATATATATGTGTGTGTGTGTGTGTGTGTGTGGTGGGGGTGCAAATTATTTTCAGATATCGTGTATCACAAGAGGAACACAATGAATAAAAAATATATACTAAACCGACACGTTTTGTCCTCTGTGGGTGGCAAATGTAGGATTTATTTTGTTGCACGTGTTTTTATACAAGAGCAAGGCTGTCATTGGTTTATCAAGGCTTTTAAATTTGAGACATCAATATTCATCCAGGTGGTTGAAACGTAGGTCAAATCATGTCGGGGCCTGGTCAGGCAAAAAGTAAGGTAGTAAAATTCAATATATATATATATATATATATATATATATATATATATATATATATATATATATATATTCATTCGAAAATTATAACATAAATATGTTATAAATTCACAACAAAAAACGTTTTGTTTCAAAACTGCTGGCGTCTTATCAAGTGATGGTTTTGAATGTACAATAAATAGATTTAAAAGGTTCAAATCGACCAAACAACCTTCGCTGGGGGAAACGTTGTTATATAAGCTGCGATGTCCAATCAAAATACAAGTAGATGAGAATTCAAAAAACTTCACAACTAATTAATAATTAATGCCCTAATGTTATGGTTAGACTAAAATAGAAATCATTCTGACTAATCAATATTAAATTTTACTATAAAATTGAAAATAAAAAATTACCTATTTTAAATTTAATCTATATTAAGTTTAAAATATTATAAAATTATTAAAATAAGAAATTGAGGAAAAATACATATGTTTTGTTATTTATTTTGTTTTAATTGAAAGGACAAAAACTCCGAATTACTGTAAGGACCTCTATATCAAAAGCAACCAACCAACATTCAACAAAATTTATTAGGAGCGCTGCAGCAACGTGTTGAAGTGCGTATAAGAATCATTTAATGTCATTTTCCATGCTCGTAATTCCTTGTTCGTTCACTCATATTATAATACGTGTTTTGTAAAACATTCCATAGCTACAAGGGTTAAATTATTTTTTTCTAAAAATAATTTTAAAACAGATATTGATTTTTAATTATAACAGAGATGGTGAAAGCGTGCTGTTTAAAAATTACTATCACACCGAAACGCAGATGATATCACAGTTATAATAAGTGTGTATCTGTAATTTGCCCCTGAGGATGATCTTGGAGGAGATCGAAAGTACTTGGGTAGGAAAAAACTACGGTGCTTTCCTTGATGAATTTCAACTTCACATGATTAGACAACTTGAAAGGATCAGTATTAAACTAAGTAGATGCAATATGTCTATATTATTCAATGAAAAATGTCTGAATGAAGATATACTGCTTACACACACACACACACACACACACACACATACATATATATATATATATATATATATATATATATATATATATATATAGATAGATAGATAGATATATTGTGTCTAATCAGATTCTTGATGAAATTCATCAAGGAAGAGGCACCGTAGTTTTTCGAATCCAAGTACTTTCGACCTTTTCTATGATCATCTTCAGGGGTAAATTAAAAAGAGAAACTAAAATCTGCATTCCGTTGTGATAATGATTTTTAACAACATGACCGATCGCACGTTGTGACAAGAAGTTTAGAATTTTAAAATTTATCCGTTTTTTTTAATCACTATCACAACGGAATGCAGATTTTATCGCAGTTACAATAAGTTTGTCTTTATCTCTGAAGATGATCTTAAAAAAGCTCGAAAGTACTTGGGTTAACAAAAAAAAAAAAAAAAAAATCTACGGACACCTCATTTAATATCAAGAACCTGATGAGAAAACAGGAAAGGATCAGCATAAAAATAAGTAGACACAATATGTCTATATTATTCAAAGAAAAATATTTGAATGAAGATATGCTGCCTATATATATATATATATATATATATATATATATATATATGTGTGTGTGTGTGTGTGTGTGTGTGTATATATATATATATACGCGCACAAACACAATACAGTTCAAAAGTTTGAAGCCCCCCCCCCGCCACCAGAATTAGCATGAGATGAACTTGACAGAAGACTGACAAATAAATGAGAACGAGTCTTTGACTCAATAATTAGCGTTTCTTATATAGAATATGAACATGATATCTGGTAATAATTCGATAGATTTATCTGATCTTGATAGCGATGTGCCCATGAAAAAATTGAAGGTTGTTGAAATATACTTCGATTGAATTTTTATTAATTTATTGATTATATATATATATATATATATATATATATATATATATATATATACTGAAGCATGTTTCCTTAAATAATATAGATATATTATGTTTATATTTTTATAATAATTCTTTCTAGTTCTCTAATTGTCTTCTTGATGTTAAATAAAAATTCGTCAAGGAAGGCGCCGTTTTTTTGTTCAGCTAAGTCCTTACGATCCCCTCCGAGATTACCCTCCGGGAAGAATTGCGAAGACAAACTTAATATAGCTGTAATCGTTGTGATGTTGACTAACACGCACGAACAAGCACTGCTATAAGTATTTTAAAAGTAACCGTTGTTGTTATGTTGTTTTGAAAACAAGCGTTCCACATACAGCGGGGATAACTAAAGATGGTAAATTATATATATGTAAAAAAAAAAAAAATATGACGCCTTCCTTGATGAATTTCATCTTAACATCAAGAAACTGATTAGACAACTTGAAAGGATTAGTATAAAAATAGACACAATACGTCTATATTATTCAATGAAACGTGTTCGTACGAAGATATGCCTATATATATATATATATGAAAATATATAGAAAATAGGAAGGAACTGGTTAGGTAAATAATCCAAAGTTCCTTAGTATTTTAGTTATTATTTTTTAAAAATAGTGCTCGATACAAAAGTAGAGTATAAATATAATTATTTATTTAAAAATATGATTCCAACTCGCGACATAAGAGGTCTCATGTTTCAAAACCAGATCCGAAAACTTCAATATAATTATTTGAATTAAATTGAGTTAAAGTGAACTCTGTTCCATCTTCAAGCGAAATTTTTTTTTGGAATAACGTATTTCTGAAATTTACGTGTTTTAATAATTGAAATCATTTCAATTAATTCAATTATTAAAACACGTAAATTTCAGAAATACGTTATTCCAAAAAAAATTGTTTTCAATCGTTATGAGTCTACCGATTGAGTAGAATTTTATTATAAACAATTGTCTTGTAAATGGAATTTTAAAGCATTCTGAATGTAAAAATAAAGGGAAAAGTGTGCAAGACAATATGAAACACTACCTGCCAAAAAAAAAGTTTTGTTGAAAAATGTAGGAAATCCGATCCCATATATAAACACACACACACACACACACACACACACACACACACACACACAACCTGGGTTTTATAATAAGTATAAACTCGATATTAATAAGTATAACTCGATATGAGTTGTCCCCCTTTCATTAATGCCTCTTAATCGTGTTTTCAAATTGATTTCGTGCAAAAACAATTGTGCTTTTCCAATTCTTGGCACTGTCAGAACCACCGCAAGGTAATT